AAGAAAAAATGCAAATGAAATTACCAAGTAGAAAGGAAGATAAACACCAATGATGAAAAAATATTTCAGTACTGGATAGTGGAAGCTATGATATGTGTATGCGCGGTGAACAGTGACAGCTATAATCATACAAGAAATTATTGAGATGTTCTTAAGAATGTTTATAGCCAAGATGATCAGTTAATTTGATTGAACAACACTAAACAATCATAAAATAAACATCTCAGGTTGTGGCTTTTTATTGTCAGCACTAATGCAGTGTTTGTAGTGGTAGTGTGAGTAATCATGCATAATACAAAATTTTTAAGATGGTGATAGTGGCATTCACAAACAAGATTGTCAGTTAAATAGTGCCGAACAAAGAAAAACCACAAAAATTAATATTACATGATGGTTAATGACAGGACAATTTTGTAATAATCATAGTGATAATATAGTCGGACCCAGTAAATATTCGAAAGAAGGAATAGATAAAGTACAAAAAAGTAAGCCAATGATAATAATATTAAGTAGCTAAGTATGTTTAAGAAGGTTGTTCACTATAGAGTACAAATAAGAGAGTATAAGGGGAAATAACAAGGGCCAAAATTATGTTATTAACAACAAAGCAAGTCATAGGTTTCACGCTTAACATTGTCTCTGTCACTTAGAACACGGGCCAAATATGGTATCGTTGAGTTCCTATACTTGGTTGTACGAGCATATATTATTTTGTACTGATTTCTGGTTCTACCTGATGAGATGCAAGGAGAGAGTTGGGAATAGAGGGGGTGTTGGGGGTCAGAGAGTATGGTTTTAGACCATTTTTCGCATGTATTCAGATGCTTATCTACTAATGCAGTGACGAGCTGACTGAGTTTTACACCGCTAGTCCTACTAACTACCTTCAACATCCTTCTCAGGATGGTATAGTCCTTTTTCAGTAACCCAGGAAAGACTAACGGGGAACAGTAAAGTAGAATAGGTAGGATACGAGAGTTGACAAATTGTGAAAGCAGAGGTTGAGGGACTCCAGTTAGTCTGAGTTTCTTAATGTAGTAGGTTAGACGAAACACTTTCTTGGAAATCATTTGGATATGAGATGACCAAGTAAGGTCGGAAGATAGAACTAATCCGAGGTATTTTGCATTAGACTTTGTTTCAATTATAGTCCCCTCAAAGCTACAGGCATCATGAGTGCTTACTAGTGTTTGTAGATCTCGTTTATGCCTAAAGGAGAAGTCGACAGTCTGGCATTTTGAGGGATTCAGCATGAGGCCATTTAGTTTAGACCACTGACTGATGTCCGACAGGAAGCTATTTAATTTGAAGCAGTCTGACTGAGACTTAACGGGAAGCGAAACAGTCAGGTCATCTGCATATTTGACGAAGTTGATTTCGTCTGAGAGAGGTAAGTCATGTAAGAAGAAGGAAAAGAGAAACGGCGAGAGAACAGCACCCTGAGGAACACCAGCTTCAGTAAGCAAAGGAGAGGAAGCTACACCATTATATACCGTGTACTGCATCCTATTGGAGAAGTAAGAGTGCAGCCAGTTGATAGCCCAGGACTCAGTTTGTGTAAGGCTAAGCTTGTTTAACAAAAGGCCTCTAGGTACAGAGTCAAAAGCAGATGTGTAATCAAGGAAAGTACAACGGACATACTTGGCCCCTTTGTCTAAGGAGGATACAATGTTGTGATGAAACACAGCAGCAGCATCCAAAGTACTTCTACCCTGTTTGTAAGCAAACTGCTTTGGATCGTTTGAGAAGCTTAGGGAGGGAATGAGTTTTTGTAACAGTAATTTCTCCATCAGTTTCAAAAAAGGAGAGGTAATGGCAATTGGTCTAAACTTAACACTATCTCCAGAACCAGACTTGGGTACAGGGATGATTTTAATATCTTTCCACAGAGAAGGTACATTATTATTAGAAAAAGAAGTATTGAAAATGCTTGTAAGTGGGTTACTTAAAATATCAGCACATTTCTTTAAAACAATGGCAGGTATACCATCAGGGCCTAGACTCTGGGAAGGTTTAAGAGATTTCAAACATTTAAGAACATCAGAAGTATTGAAACGATGAAAGTCACTGGTCGTGTTATTAGTTAAATTGAAGGCAGAAAGGACATTTGGAGGGCGGATGAAAGATCTATTGAGAGTATTTACATCAATAGAAGAGGCAAAATTATTATGCTTACCACAACCAGTAATTTCTCTAAAAAGCTTCCATATGTTTTCTGAGGTTTTACAAGATAGTATTGTTTGATTATAAATGTTGTTTAGTCTCTTGATTTCAGATTTAATTTGGGTGTTTATCTTCTTAAGACCAGATTTATTCTTTGTCTTGTACAGCTTCTCTTTTTCTCTACGAAGTTTTTTGAGATGAGGGGAAGAAAAACGATCCATTCTTTTGAAAATTATCTGTTTTGGACAGCATATATCAAGACAGAATTTAAGATAGTCAGTCAAATTGGAAATAGTATCATCCAGTTTGTGTTCGTTGAAAAGTTCCCAGTTAGTGTCATTTAGCATACATCTTAGTTTGAGCATATTTTCTTGTGAGTAACACCTTTGCTGTGTTTTCTTGGACAGATTTGAGAAGATATTAAAGTGAGATCTGCTGTATATCTTAGGTAATATCCGAATAATACAATGATCTGAGTTCATGATAGGAGCACGTCGGCGTACTTCATATATTTCCTCATCATTAATGAACACTAGATCCAGAGTTTTATCAAGTCGAGTAGGGAATTTAACAATATTGGCATGACCTAATGATACGAGGAAAGAACAATCACAGCAGTTAAAATCTCCTGTGACAACTGATAAAGAGTTTTCAAGATGTGTAACGGCGAATTCAGTGAATTCATCAGCAAAATCAGATAGATCAGATGCAGAACAACCAGGAGTAACATAAATATTTGAGATGAAGACGTATTTAAACTTGGATAAGTGTTTCGGGCGGCATTTGACTGTTATACAATCAATAAAGTCATTAGAGTAAGAAAAACATACATTATTTGAAGTTGACCATTGAGAATGAATGAAAGTTGCAACACCTCCACCTCTTTTCTTTCTGGAGCATAGTCGATCTTGTCTAAACAATGTAAAACCATTTAGGGAAACCAGATTGTCATCATAGAGTTCATGGAGCCATGTTTCTTGTAATGCAACAATCGCCGTATTGTGATAAGTATCAGATGATAAGAGAGACTGGAGATGCATAATTTTGTTGGGAAGTGAACGGCAGTTTGAAGTGACAATAACAGGAATGGTTGTACGATATAAAGGTGTCTGTTTAAGTGCACGCTGCCAGCCAGCGTGATGTTTTCTCTTAGATTTATTAGATGCATGAAAGTCATATGGTTTGAATCGTTTAATGAATGAATTACTGTATTTTATGCGATTTGTGATCATATTTTATTAAAATTAGGAATGAAAACATGACTATTAGATGCAATATGTAGATGCAGGAAAAGGTAGCCCAGATGTCAAACAGGCCGCCAAGAAATCAGTCGGTCAACACTCATTATTATTATTGTTATTATTTCCTTCAGTTCCTAAAGCAACATAGTGCTTCAGCCACAAGTCTCCATTGCATTTGGTTCTCTGCCAGCGTTTTCATCACCTGACTCCACATCTGCGCACTCGCCTTCATCTCCTCTTCACATGACCTCCTCCATGTCACCCCACCCTCGCAATGACGACCAATTTGCCGCTCCCTATGCGGGTTTCACTCGAGCAATGGCCTTGCGTGTGATGTCACTTGATGGTTTCCTGAGAGTATGGCCAATCCACCTCCATTTCTTCATGCATATTTGTTGCGCAGTTGCTTCCTGCTTGGTTTTTTCGCTCATTGCCAGAGATACCTATTGCTGATCTTATCTGGACGGCCATCTGATCTTGCGTGAAGTTTTGAGCGAAGACAGCTAGCTGTTAATCAAGGTCCGTAGTTTGTTTGAAGTGCTCTTCATGAAGCGCCAAGTCTTTGATCCATGTGGAAAATAGCACTGACCTCACATGAGAGTTGAAAATTAGGATCTCATTTTTCATGCTGAGTGCTGAGTGTTGACCTCCCCACAGACTTGAGAGTAATGAAGCTTGTCTGGCTTTCCCGATGATCCTCGCCTTGACATCCTCGTCAGTTCCGTCCACGTGTAGTTGAAAGTATGCTTCCCAGGGAGGCAAATGTCAACACTGAAGTAAAATGAAACGAACTGGTGGAGAGCCGAATACAATTGTCTGAAATTATTTATCTTAATTATTGGTGTTAGGCTTTGGCAGATGTTAGACGACAAGAAACTGTGACATCGTTATTTCACTTGTTACTAATTATCAACAAACTGATTTGATGGTGAATTATTCAGGATAGTAATAAGTGACTTTACCTCCTAAAATTCCAGGCCTCGATTGACCCTCATCTTCGTTGCACAAGCCAGCTGACAAACAGTAACCCAAAAAAGTTAACTGTCTAATTCTAAGAATATTGATTTATTCAAATCCATTAATCAGGCGTGATTCAAGTTATCTTTATCTACAAACCATCACTTGAATACAGATGAGATACTCACTGGCAACTGGCCCTATTCAGGTAGGTAGTTACCTGGGTTCCAGTGGGAAGTCGTAACCAGTAGGGTGCAGCTGGTTGGGTGTGAGGACAAATACTCGCCGAAGACATTGGCTAGCGGTTGCGCTATGTCGTGAATTGGCAGAAGTTGGAATTCAAGGACCATTGGATCGGGTCCCATTGGCTTAATGGTATACGAGCTCGCCTTGTAACCGGAATGTCCTGGGTTCGAATCCCGGTGGGTGCTTACTGCTGAAGAGTCCCAAACAAGGACGAAACAGCTGTCGATTACATTCAGGTCTTCCAATGGTTCTCTAACTAATGTCAGCTCATGATGAAATCCGGAAACCAATCAAATCCCTACAAACCATCACTTGAATTATCTTTATCTATTTATTATTATTTGTCTAGTTATTTATGCGTTCAACTAATTTGTTTTTGTTTATTTCCACTAGGTACTACCAGGACTAATACTCCACCTAGTCGATTAGATTATCTACAGACTAGAACGAAAGATACATTGAAATCATCAAAATATGAATTAACATTGAGACATTTAGGTAAAATACATCGAATGCTATCGCGTCGAATCAATCGAACAAGTAATATGAAATATTATACAGAAAACAGCATTTATCGTAGACAACCAGGACAGGTGTTTACAGTTTAAATTAATAAAACTACAGGTTAGTTTGTCAGTAATTTCATATTTATTTATATATTTAAATATAATTATTTGTTTTCATCCATTGAATCAGACTACCTTACTGGATTACAATCAGGCAGCTCGGAAATACTCTTGATATAAGTATAAAACTTGGGCACTGTGATAGTAGAGTATAACTCCATTATAGATAAGATTTTATTTTGATTGATAAATCACACAGTGTAGTGTTATACAGTAATATTAACTGATGACCATGTTTCGAGCACAAACTATCACCACTCATAATCATATCAAGTCACTCACTCACTCACACAACTTTGTTGCTTCATTTATATACATGAGTGAAATTGATGATTAGACATTTGAATAAAAATGAATATAGGATAATGTACATTCAGAAATAATAATAATATGAGTGTTATTGATCAATCAGATCAATCAGATGGGAAATAAGACGAGTGTTTTTATAGTCAAAATAAGTAACTTGTTAGAATATTATGATGTACGTGAATTGAATTGAAATGGAATTTTAAGATTATTTGTTATCCTTCTCTGTCTTCCCTGCATATCTCTGGTATTTGTATTGAGTCATTTCTGTTGCATGTTTTGAATGTAGACTCGATGAACCCGGCATGATTCAGGAATCAATCTCTATCTCCACCTACTTATATTACTTCTTAGAATTTTAACCCTCTCCCAGAGGATGGTAATAAATAATCTTATTATTCTAGTTCAATTCAATTCACGTAAATCATAACATTCTAACAAGTTATTTATTTTGACTATAAAATCACTCGTCTTATTTCCCATCTGATTGATCTGATTGATCAATAACACTCATATTATTATTATTTCTGAATGTACATTATCCTATATTCATTTTTATTCAAATGTCTAATCATCAATTTCACTCATGTATATAAATGAAGCAACAAAGTTGTGTGAGTGAGTGAGTGACTTGATATGATTATGAGTGGTGATAGTTTGTGCTCGAAACATGGTCATCAGTTAATATTACTGTATAACACTACACTGTGTGATTTATCAATCAAAATAAAATCCTATCCATAATGGAGCTCGGCAATACAATGAATTAAGTTATCTGACCAATACTAAGAACCATCAATCACCATCATTGGGAAAAATTCAAAGGAGGTGGTGATGTACTTTTGTAACAATAATAGAAGGCAAGACACGGAAGCCAAAGTATATTTTCCATTGATCAAACAGCTATTTACACCTATACTGATTATACTTAACTCCAACCGATTACAGAGCGTATGATTTCGGTTTACATCAAATGGCATAAAATAGAATGTTCAAATGTGCATATTCTGTTGGGAAACATATTGTCTGAATCACACCAGCACACTTTCAATTATCTTAGACTGCATTGTTTCAATTACAGGCAGTCAGCATAGAGATGAATATGTCGAAACGAGGATTGGAAAGGCAGGACAAATCTTCACATTAATCTGAAACCATTGTCGTAATCGCTTGCACTCTAAGCGCACGGAACAAGATTTGAATATTCGGTATGAATGTTAGAAACTTATTGGGTCATTAGAAAAACCATTTTGGAAAGCCTTCAGACTTTTATCTACAGCTGACTTGACTTGACACCGAAGGTCGAATGGCTGAGCAGGAAAAGAATAACGCAACAATTAACTCTGGGAACAAAACAGTTAGGAAACTATTGCCCAAGAAGTGTGCCAATCCATTAAAGAGACTGTTGATTGATATCATGAGCCAGTCCCTAAAGCAAAACCTAAACGGGAAACGGCATGTGTGGTGTAAGTACAAGGCTGAAGAGACGAAAGTCTGATATAATAGAGAAGATTTGTATCTCAGGCGAATGATTTGCAATTAATAGTGTTTTCTGAGCTGATTGGTTTAGTTGCAGAGCTTTCGTCGTCCCCCCCCCTCCCCTGCTGGACAACATCCTCCTTCAGCGAAGTTTTTAGCATTGAGTTAAATGATTTAAATGTTTTTCCATGAATGATAGAACTGCGTCTTCCAGTAACCATCTTTAAATTGTGTTGATCATTTTCTATTGACTTGGATTTTAAACTTTCTCGTCACTTGATTTACTTTTTATTAATTGGTATATTTGGTCTATATTAACATGTTTGTCAATTACATATTCTTTGAGTAACAGGTTTCTAGGATTTCCCTGACTGCACTTTCGGTGTTCACTTTGTCAAAAATGTCGACATTATCCTAATCAGCAAATTGGTGTCCATAATTATCTATATGCATCGATATGAAACAGGAATATATATCATGTCTTTTCACAGCTGATTTGTGTTCCTGGATTCTGATTCGAAGGGGAGGCTGACTTTGGCCGATGTAATGTCTGTTATAAATCATACAATTTATTTTTTAAATGGTATCAATTTTATCTCTTCTTTCTGTTGGATCTTTCGGATTGCATAGTATCCATGAATGAAGTGATTTGACTGCCTTTTCTGCTATGTCTACTTCAAAATTCAAGCTGTTATTTCATAGATATTTTCGCTTATATATGGTAGGATGAATTTTCTTGTGGTCTTTGACGATGGTTCCTTGTTGGTGTTGTGATTCGAATTTAAACACTTTTGATAAAATTGTGGAGGGGATAATCATTCTTTTTGAAGACCGTTAGTAAATATTTTTCTTCCATTTTTTCATCTCTGGAAGGCTACAGTGTGTTTGAACTCTTCTAAACAATGTCTGCACACAGTTTCTTTTGTGATTAATTGGATTGTTGCTAGTTTAGTTGAGTATTTGATCTGTGTGCGTTGATTTTCTATATACTTGTGTGATTCTAAATTTCCTGTGTTGTTTCTCTTGATTGAGACATCTAAAAATGTGATTTTGTTATCTAATTCTTCTTCTCTTGTGAATTCGATGTCTTCAGACATGTTGTTTATTAATTTATGGGTATATTCTAAATCATTTCTCTTAATTATTAGAAATGTATCAGCAATGTAACGTACCCAGACTTCCGGTTTAATTATAGGTAGAGCTATTAAACTCTAATCATTGCATGACGGCTTCTGCTGTGAATTATAAAGCCAGCTACAAAAGACCACCATGAATAAAATAAAATGGAGAAGTTTTATTTTCCACCCTGAACTTATGGGAATAATAATTATCATTATTATTTCATTTCTTCTAATTCCTTTTTCTCAGAAATTGATTCAATTCCTTCACCCCGAATAATTACTGTTTCAAAATTTCAAGATTTTTTTCAGTAAGCAATATTACTAAGTACTTCTAGATGAACTGATATTTCGAAGAGGAGGACGTTGGTTTCAGTGGAATGATCACTTCAATTTTTCCAGAGCTCTTGCCAACCATAACACTTTAGTAACTAACAAGTACAAGTTTCGGTAAAGATAACGAACTCTTTCATTTGATTTTAGAGTATTTGATGCACGGACAATTAAGCATTAGGCAAAATAACACGCAGAAATAAAGGCGTACTCAAATAGTCAGTCTGAGACCTTGATAGCTATGATGATATTGTTTAAAATGAAGTGATGCATTGAGTACTACTACTTTGCTTCTGGGTCATATCATTTTGTGAGGACAACTAATTCCGCATCAGTCTTAACGCCTGCAATTTCTTACATAAGTGGTGCTATTAATTCTATTGCATAATGGCAGGTTTATTAGTATTGAGGAGGTCTCTGACTATTGCATCATTAAGCATTGATTAATATTAACATTAAGCGTTAAGTCTTAAGCTTTTTGATCTTTTAGCTCTTATTTTCAAGAGTAAATTTGTAGAGATTTAAATTATTTCATGTTCGATCACAAACAGATGCTAGTCAAAGAATTACTGAGAAGCAGAGAATACTGATGATAACTATTTTTGTCCTACTCTACGACTCATCGACACTACGCATCACTGGGGCATCAAACTCAAGCGCTTCGAATTACAAGGACTAACTCATTGACCATTCATCTACATTACCTTGAATTTAATTGCCCATGAATTCCAATTTTGTTTCGATCTATGATTTCAGCATGACCACTAGTTCTTAAGTGTATATATGCTAGCGTATGCTAAATCTATCCAAAGTTCACTGGCTTCTTAACTAACACTTCATAATAAACGCCCTGAGGGAGTAATAATCTCCCCCCCCCCAGAAACTTTCCGAATAGTATACCACTTCTGATGATATTAGATAGTGAGAGGCAATCAACAGGAAGCCTCACCTGACCTGGGGTTTCGTGCTATTTGGCACTCACTAGTCAGTCATCAGGGCGTATCTGCAACCTCGAAGGAACTTGTGTTTCTTTTGAGATTCGAACCCACGTCACGCAATGAGTGCTGCAGTCAGAGACGTTACCAATGTGCAAATTGGGCTCCTGATTGACCTCCTGTAGGACTTTAGTGGGTATTTTGATTTGACATTAGTACCTAGTGTGATGTTTCTAGTCTTTTCTTTGTTGTAGACCATATTCTATCAGTCAGGTTTGCAGTGTGGCCACCATTCTAGGGAGCTCGCCATCACAGTGCACATTGATTTGATGAAATTAGATAGTTGGAGGCAATCAACAGGAAGCCTCGCCTGGCACTCACTAGTCAGCCAGGCGTATCTGCAACTGGCTTGAAGGAACTCATGTCCTTTTTGAGATTCCAACCTGTGTCACCCACTTTATTTATAATAGAAATGATGAAGATTGTAGAGTGTTCACTTTATTGAGCATAGAAACTAACTTTTTTGTATTTTAATTATATTTTTTCAGAAAGAAAAGAAATTCTTTTTTCTTCTTATCAACATTGAAGACAAATGAGGTCAAACACAAAACCCAACAGTTTCAATAAAGAATCGAATAACATTTACAAGCATTACTTCTCATAAATCCTCATGTACACATGTGCATCTGTGTATGATTGTGTAAATCAAATATCAAAAAATGAATAAAACTTGACTTTATTCATTTCATTGAAATTAAAACTAAACTTGTTTTGAATATAATTAGTGGATACTGGCTAGCAGTGGAATCCAGGATGACACGCATTTCGTCCTATTCGGGACTCTTCAGCTAGGGGATGTACGTGCATTCCCCATTGAGTGATGATGATGTTCCCTCCGAGGCTCTAACCCTCTGCCCATAGTTCCAAACGACAAAGCCACGAACAGGAAAATCTGAGAATTCAATTAAATAATTGATATAACCCGTTGCACAAGAGGTGGATCTCGTCGCCCAAGTGGTCTAGTGGACAACGCCTTGGCGTTTGAAACTATGGACACTGAGTTCGAGACTCCGTGAGAACATCATCATCAATCACTAGGGAATGCAGGTACATCTACCGACTGATGAGTCCTAAATTTGACGAAATGCGCGTTGTTCTCGATTCCACTGCTAGTCACCCACCATCCACCAATTAAATTATAATTAAATGCCCTTAAATCGTCGATGCATCTGCAGAAGAAGCCGACATGTGAACCTGAGACCGAGCACTTAAGTCCAATCAATCGACGGGAAAATCTTAAGTCCCATTGAATAAACTTGTTTTGCTTTGTTAAGTAAAATTTCTAGACATTTCAGTCAACCCAATCAGAAGAAAATTTTTTATAATCAAGTAGGATCAAACTACTGTTTTATATTATTAGTCTATATACAACAACAACTACTACTACTACATCAAACTGAAAGATCTGTTTTTGTACTAACAAAAGTTAAAGAACCATTGAGAACCTAGAAGGAATGAAGAGTTGTTTTATCACGGAATATATACATTGGATCATAGGAATTATTAAAAAGACGGTTGCAGCGAAAAAAATTTTCTTTTCGATGAAGTCAGCATCAACTAGGTTCAGAAATCTTCTGCAATAACTCAGGCAGAATGGAGAACAAAATTCGGATTTTTAACACAAATGTGAAGTCAGTCACTTCCATTAGGGTAAGAAACTTGCCGTGCGCGTCATGAAAAGATTTTCTCAACAGCTTCTCACTAAGTTGGTTGCATACTGTAGATCAAATGGCCAGAAAGAATTAGCACCAAGAAACTGTGTCTGCGAGGAAACCAGCTAAGAGCTGATCGCACAACCTACACCCTGGAGAAAATGCAGATGTATTGATTGGGCACACGTTGGGAAGGTCGTCGAATGACACTGCGTGCCAGACCATCACTCGGGCGGTGCTCAAGTGGGAAGCGACGAGTGGGTTTTCAGCGCGAAGGAACTGAAGGAGGTGAGAGATTATGATCAACTGACGACCCATCTGAAGAAAACCGCAGAGAATAGAAGAAAGTGAAGATGTGTTGTTGAAGCTCTGTGTTCCGATTGAAACCCAAGGAGATAATAATAATAATAGAGTTAGCGGCCTAAAGTGCACTAGAGAAAGATCTTAGAAGCAAAATAACAGTAGTATAAGACATAAACATATATGTATATATATATTAGAACAAGGCATTAAGAAGACAAATTTCGCGAGATGATATCATTTCGTAGTTTCTTTACAACCGCTTTACAACTAACATGGTTAACAATGATAAAATAAAGTTCATGAAATTTACTCAGTTAGATAAAAACAAAAGTACATACTAATGACCAATCATATTAAGATAGGTCATGCAGTCCAGGGTAGGCGAAGATTGAAGTCTATTGATTTTTGTACACACAGTTTAGGCTGTATGTGATTAATCCAAAGTGCTTCCATCACCTTCAATAACCTTGAATTAGAGTTATGTGAAATAATTGTGAAACAGTCATTAATATTTATTTTGTGACCAGACATTAATAAGTGTTTTGCAATGGATGATGCTGGATTTCTATTAAGATTAATCGCGTTGGGATTTTCGATATGGTTTACTAGCCATTTTGGAATATGTTCTTTTCGACGACATTGGAACATTCTGTTAGTTCTACCTATATAGGTGTCACCGCAGCTGCAGGTGAACTTGTAGATACAGTTTGAAGTAGAGTCCACAGAATTTCGTCCTTTAATCGTAGGAACAGGGATCGAAAATGTTCGGCAAGTGAGAAAAAGAGATGCGGCGTAGAATGTGCGTTTGATGGCTGATCGAAGTCTTTGAGCTGTCAACTGCATAATCTGGTCGCCCTTGAATGGTAGATTAATAAAGATAGCTTTCTTTGGTACAGAAGCTGTCTTTTCGAGATGTGGTTTTTCTTTGCTGTGACAAGTGATAAAGCTCTCCGGATAACCATTAGCTAATAAAACTGAATGTACATGTCGAAGCTCATCCATCAGTGTGTCACTCGTGCATATTTTTCGGGCCCTTGAGAACAAACATTTCACTAGGGAACGTTTATACTGGATAGGAACAAAACTGGTAAAATGAAGATATTGTCCAGTCCATGTTTGTTTACGAAAAATAGAGCGCTGAATCGTTCCATCATTTCTCCTAGTCATAGTAATATCCAGGAAACCAAGTTTGTTATTCGATTCTAGTTCGGAAGTCACTCGAATATTTGGATGAATATGATTAAATAGAGTAATGAAGTTTTCAATAGATTCACTATTATTACCAATAATAAGAGTATCATCAACATAACGTTTATACAGCATAAATCCTCCAAGCATACCTTGCATTTGTTTCTCTAATTTCGACATAAATATATCTGCTAACAGGGGCCCCAGAGGGCTCCCCATCGCAACACCATCGATTTGTTTATATGCCTTTTCTTGGAATGTGAATCTAATATTTTCTGTACACATTAAGATTATGTCTTTGATGTAAGTGACGGGAATGGGTAAGTTTATGCCATTGCTTGTGATGTAATCGCAAATAAAATCAACAGTTTCATGAAGGGGAACATTGGTGAATAAAGATTCTATGTCAATTGAACACATAACCTTTTCCTTAATGTTCAAGGTGTCCAGCATTTCTGTAAGATCAAATGAACTTTTTACAGAATGATTTGATAATGAGTCTCTTACAGGCGTAAGGACCTCTGTAATCCATTTGGCGATTTTATGATAAGGAGAATTTGACATGTCTAAGATGGGTCTCAGTGGGTTCCCAGTTTTGTGGATCTTCGGAAGACCATAAAGCTGAGGAGTATGTGACCCAATTGGTTTAAGTTGTTTATAAAGTTTTTCATTTATAAAACCATGCATCAGTAAAATCTGAAGCTGTCGATTGATCTGCTTTTCCACAAGCAGCACGTTATCAGTAGCATTGTCCAGCAGAAATTTGGACTGGTCTTTGAGGATATCGTTCATTTTATTTTGATAATCCGATTTGTTCATAATGACAACGCCTTCTCCCTTATCAGGTTTAAGGATCACAAGATTATCTTTTTGGATTAATTCCTTAAGTGCGGCGTGGTGTTCTTTTGATAAACCATTTTTCTGGTGTATTCTAGCATTTAGAAATTGATGAGAAATGTCCACCAGTTTAACTTTAAACCAGTCCAGATTATCTTTATTAGAGGGAGTTAAATCAGAGATTTGGTCATACAGGTTTTCATACTGTGACTGGACTTCCATCTTGTTAATTTTCATGGGAATAGTTTTGTACTTCATTCCATAAGATAATGCTTCCAACTGTAGTTGGGATAGAGTGCATGTGGATAAATTAATTATATGTTTGTGGATATCTTGAGGAAATTCCAAAGTATGATTTGAGTCTTTCAAAGATTTTGTTAATTTTTCTTCGGTAGAACTTATCGTCTTTTTTACCATATCATTGCAAAATACTGTGAATTTAATTCGACATACTAAAGATAAATTATCCAAAACGGGATTTAGTCTTTGGTGTGTTTCAATAAATTTCGAAAGTTTGTCATTAATTTCATCGACTTCTAATTCAGCAAGATGCTGAAGGTTGGAGAGTGAAGATTTTGACTTATTCCGACGTAGGGATTTGTAAAATGATATAGGATAATGTTTATTTTCTATGCAGTTGCGATAAAACCTTAATCGTTCACGCTGAATTACAATTTTACATCTCAGATTTAGAAGACGGTTCAGAAGTCTTATAGTATCTTTAGGGAGCCTTCGTTTGAGAAAATTAAAACAATTAGTCCCTTTGATAAATTTGAACAAGGCATTAAGAAGACAAATTTCGCGAGATGATATCATTTCGTAGTTTCTTTACAACCGCTTTACAACTAACATGGTTAACAATGATAAAATAAAGTTCATGAAATTTACTCAGTTAGATAAAAACAAAAGTACATACTAATGACCAATCATATTAAGATAGGTCATGCAGTCCAGGGTAGGCGAAGATTGAAGTCTATTGATTTTTGTACACACAGTTTAGGCTGTTTGTCTTCTTAATGCCTTGTTCAAATTTATCAAAGGGACTAATTGTTTTAATATATATATTAGATGGTCGGAGGCAATCCGCAGGAAGCCTTTGACCTAGGTTTCGTGCTTAGTTGGCACTCTTCGGCAAGGTGTACCTGCACCTTTGAGGGAACTCACTTCCCTTCTGAGACTCGAACCCGCGTCACCCATTGCTGCAGTCAGAGACGTCACCACTGAGCTATTCGGGCTAGCGATGGGACTGTAGGACTGCATTGGACACTTTGATTGTACTGAGTTCAGTCTGCACCAAACAAAAGACTTGTCAGTAACTAGTGTCTAACCAAAGTATCCATTTCAGTCCCACAGGAGGCCAATAGTGAGCCTAATTCGCACAACGGTAACGTCTCTGACAGTATAATTGAGTGTTACAGGTTAAAATGTCAGAAGGGAAATTAGTCTCTTCAAGGTTTCAGATACGTTTTGCTAACTGGTGAGTGCCAACTAGCACGAAACCTAGGGCCAAGACTTCCTGTAGTCGATTGCTTCCAACCATCTACTATCAACAATTC